CCCGCCTCCCCGCCCCCCCTTCGGCCGGGAGGTGGAGCTCGGGACCGCTCCGGTCCGGCTGGGAGGGGACCCCAAGCACCGCTCCCTAAAGCCTGGACCCCTCCCTTTGCTATCTCTTCACTACCCGAGGCCCAGTACACAGGCCGTCCCCTCCTCTGCGCTTCACCTTACACTTATCCCACCCAAGCCTCCATCTAGGACCGCTCCTGAATTCCCCTCCTTACCCTACTCAAACACCTGTCCCCAGCTCTGTCTGCCCCCTGGGAAGTCGAGGCAAGGGAAGTGTCTCCCACAGCGCCTTCTTCCCTGGGCACCTGCTCCTCCATATCCACCCTCTTCCCGCCCAGATCCCCGATCACCCTGTGTGGCCCTCCCTTCCCACTGCGCTCGGGGAAAGTCCACCCCTCCCCCTCGGGCCGAAGCCGCAGAGCGGTCAGCCTAGGTGGCCGCAGCAAGCCGTGGGGGTGGGGCTATGGAGGGGACCGTGGGAGGAGGAGGCTAATGGGACCCGGGGGCTCTAGTGAGGATGGGGAAGATACACAAGCTGAAGACCAAGTGCTGCGCCTGAGCTCAGGCTATTCGAGGGTCCCCTGATCACCTGCCCTCTGGGCGGCGTAGTGCTGCGGCCACACGTATTTGCCAGTGACTTACATTATACAGTCACCGGGTCCCTGCCCCCCGAGGCCGCGCAGTGTCACGGCCTGTGTCACACGCCCTCGCAGTGCCACACGCTCCCTATCACACACACACTCACCAAATCACACACGGTGTCACACGCAGTGTCTCACACACTCCAATACTAGGTTTCTCCCATTCAGATCTGGCTCTCTGGCGCCATCTAGAGGTCTTCGAGCAGCTTGGGAACTCCCTCTCCTGCGCTCGTGGTTTGGTAACCCAGGCTGCCAAGTGTCCCAGTTCAACAGGACCTCCTGCCTTCTTCGCCTGCATGCCCAGGCAGAGTGTTCGAGATCAAAAGAATGAGGAAAGCTATCCCTAGCCAGGCCTAGTGCTGCGTGAGGAAAGGCTCTCGTTATGGGATGATCAGCTGCTGGGCCCCTTTTTGCCACAGCCTCTGACTCCCCATCTCTGTCCTTCCCCATTTCCCTGTTCCTACCACTCTTCTGTGCCTTTCCTCTTTCTTCTACTTCCTTCTCTTCTCAGCTCTGGCCTCTCTCGGTGGGATGCTCTTCAGGGTAAGAGTGGAATCTCTGGCTAGCTAAGGGGGTAAGCAAAGACTGTGCAAGATCTCTCCCAGAGCAGCCCCCCTTAACTGGACTCCTTTTCTGGCCTGGCCCCTGCTCTATCCCTCAGCCCCAGGAGCCCAGGGGCGGGGCTCTAGATGGGAGATGGGATAATCTGCTGAAAGAGGGGGGAGGGTCTGTCCTGTAAGTAGCTTCTTTCTGTCTCACGAAAGCTCATACTCTCCACATCATTGAGCACAGCTCCGAGGAGGGAATCAGTGGCCCAGAGAGAAGAAATCTTCCACAGAAGAGCTGCCCCAGTCTCCCTGCCCCCAGCGTGTGCCCGCTGCCCAATGCAGCAAACCCTCCCCAGTCTGCTTGCTGGGAGCCATTCAAAGGCTCCTCTGTTCTCCTCCCTTGCTCAGGGCTGAGCAGGCTCAGCAGCCGCAGAGCTGGGCAGGAAATGCTAATCTCCCAGATGTTCTCCTCCATCCTTCCTGCTCCACCACCATCAAACTCAAATTCTGCACCAAGTGGTAGGAGCAGAACTGGGCCAGAGAAGCAGCACCAGGGTGTGCCTACTCTTCTCCCTACTCCCCAGCCCCTCCTACCCCAGCTGCCAGGCTGGGCTCTGTGCCCCTGAGTCAGGGGCAATGTAGATATGAGAATTGGGGCCTTTTTTCCCCAGGAAGGAGGGCAGGTGAGCAAGCAGGGACTGGGAGGACGGTTGGGGAGCAAGAGAGGTGGCATTTGAAGAGGAGAGAAGTCAGACTTTTGGCCCTGTACCAAAGTGGAAGGAGGACCTGCTTGGCAAGTGAAGCATTGGGGGAAGCTCCTGAAACTGATGGTGCCTGAGTTCCAGCTGAGACTGTGGTCAGGGATTGGAACCAGGTGATGCCGGGTATGGGAATGGTTGGGGTGCTTGCTGTGATATCTGTGTACCTGGGATGGGCTGTGGCTAAGTGAACTAGGATGCTGTAGGACCTGGAACTGTAACACCAAGCCTGCTGCCTCTGATTGTAGTTGGGACACTTGCAATGCTCTGATGCTGGTGTGCCTAGGCTATAGCCAATAAGATTACCTGAGAAGCTATCACCAAGCTGTGTGTATATGGGCGTGTGTGTGCATGTTGAGGGAGGGCTGTAACTGATATGCTGTTGAGCCTGAAGCTATAGATATGAGGCTGGCACACCTGAGACTAGCTGTAGGTGAGAAGCTGTTCCCTGTTAATATGATGTAGATGGGACTGTAGCTGGATCCATTGCCTAGGTCCTAGGAGATGAGAGGCTGTTGCTAGGAGCCTGTACCTGGGAGACAGGCTGTTACCTGGGATAGGAGCAGAGCTACTGTTGTGTATAGG